TTTTTTTTTGCAAAAGGTAACTTATAAACCAGCCAAACATGCTCGGAAAAAACCTTATGTAGCTCTGCGTCATGTCACAGAGTAACTTATTTATTTTCAAATATGACCAATAAAAAATTACTATAAACAAACTTTTTAACCTTAGCAAAAGATGTACTGATCTTTTATTAAGAATACACAAAGGCAAACCCAAAAAAAATAAATTATATGGTTGTTACAAAAAGCACTGCCGTAGCTTGACTACAATCAGATCAATCTAAATCACCCTATGTCTACAGATGAAGAGACAAATCGAGTTTCTGATCTATTTCCCTGCGGTCATCACCCCCATGGCTATGAATTTTATTCAATTTTGGTAAATTCTGAGAGCATTCTTCATTGAAGCCATTGCACCCTATGGCACTTCTTTGCCAATTGGTCAAGCTTTGATCATCTCCTTCACATTGATACATGTTATTCATATAGTTCCCTCTATATAATACCACATTCTGAAATCTGGGGGCACCATTTGATGCTCCAAATGGGCTGGAAAATTGCTGGCCTTGAAATTGACAATGACTGGCTGCATGGGGAGTAATATAAGCTGATGGATTAAGAATCCCAATTGGATAGTTGGGAGATAACACTAATGGGGGATGTGAAAGTAAAGGGAAATTGTTGACAACATATTGGGAAGCCTTTTTGGTCTTTCTAGCAGAATCTCTCTCTTTTTTGTGGGCATTTTGATGGCCTCCCAATGCTTGTGAACTTTGAAACTTTCTTGAACAGTACAGACAGGGAAATGATTTAACTGTGTGATCTTCTGCAACACTGCTTGGTGAACCATGAGTTACAGTCTCACCCTCCATTCCTGTGTAGTCGTAATTACAAGACAAGAAAAAGGGAATAACATTACGTGTTTCGTACAAACAAACTTGAAAAAGCAAAACTTTGATTCTAATAAGTTCGTATGTTACCTTTGAGTGGAAACGTATAAGCACAATTTTAGAAAATTCAGGTACAAGGCTGGCAAGAGTAGCAGAGAAAAGGGAACAAGAATGAGAGCAAGTACAAGTTTTCAGAGTTTGAAGTTGGGTTTTGATCTGATTAAAACATAATGTGAAGAGATGCCTGTGTGCAGCATTTATAGAAAGAGTGCAGGCACAAGAGGGTGTATGGGCTTTGGGAACTGAAGAGATAAGAGAGGAATCAGTATACAAGTATCCTCCAATACGTTTCTGCAAGCTTAGACACAGTGATTGGTGAATGAGGATAGAAGAGAGAGAGATTCCATTTTCAACTTTTGCAGGAGTTCTCAATCTTCTCTTTAATTCTTAGTTTTAGCTGTTTGTCTTATCTTTGTCAGTATGATTTACTGCTACCTCAAGTTGCCTACATACACAAGTAACCTGCAGTGTAGTTGAACAAAGTACCATTTTTACATTTTGTAGAATAGTTTAAGAAGCTACTTTGCCTGTCACTCACGATTCTTACTTAATACTTCGAATAGAAAAGTTCACGAGAGAGTTATTTTAGACCGGCTTCTTCTAAATACTCTTCAAGTCGGTCAAACAATTAATAAAAATTATCTAAACATGTTTCAAATCAGCTTCTTAATTTAATAAGCATTATTGTACTTTTAAGAATTCCAGCCAGAACGGGACGCTAAGCAACATCCCACATAACCACTTGAGATTTTGATTCATTTTGCCCATGTTTTTTTATAGTCAATCCCAAACTAGAATAAAGAGTGAATTGCAGTAGATTGATATTTGTCTAAAGCTTTATTTCATATAGCGACATAAATCGAGACTCACATAATATTGTCATAGATAATTGAGATTTTTTAAGTGTGAAGCACATACGATATTAACTAGTACAGATGTGACATCCTCAAGGTCTCTCTCATTGGCATATTTGATCACATTATTTGACGTCGAGAGGAGATAGAAAAGAAATCAGGGTACGAGATAAGGTGAATTTTGGAGAATCGAGTAATTCATAAGCCAGTAGTCCCCCAC